AATAATAATAATAATAATAATAATAATAATAATAATAATAATAATAAAATAATAATAATAATAATAACAATAATAACAATAATAATAACAATAATAATAATAAATAAAAGGCCGAATGCGGTGGCGCGGCGCACGCCTTTAAATCCCAGCACTCGGGAGGCAGAGGCAAGCGGATCCCCGAGGTCGGGGTCTACAGAGCGAGTCCAGGACAGTCAGGGCTACACAGAGAAATGCTGCTTCGAAAACAAAACAAAAAGATCAGCAGGAGGAGCCTGGTAGCGAAAGTCTGTCTGCTGGGCGTGGGGCCTGCGACTCTTTGGGACATTGTGACAGCCTAGCAGGCTTTGTGCCTCGAGTTGCCCAAGGGGCCCTCCACAAGAGCTAAGTTCATGTGCCTCGGTTTCCCTTTTTATACAAGTTTTTATTAGTTTGTATTTGTTTTACATGGTAAGAAATCGGTTGCCAGCAGCCTCCAACCATGTGTAACTCCAGCCTCAGAGGGTCCAATGCCTCTGGCCTTTGTGGGTACCACACTTTTAGATCCATAACCACATGCAGAGACACAAATACACGTAGCTAAACTACTAAAAATGTAAAAGGAAAAAAGTATGGATGTATGGGGGGGGGGCTGACTTGTGGAAAGTTTAACAAGGTGGTGAAGACATGGACCCTAGGGAAAGGCTTCCAGGGCTAAAAACCCTTTCCAGCTTGTAGTTAGACTTCACAGAAATGCACATTTTCCTTTCTTTCAGGTTGGGGGTGGGAGGGTGGAGGGGCAGTTGCTCTCTCATAAATCAATAGGCAGACCAGCCTGGTCTCAAATGCACAGAGAATGGCCTGCCTCTGCCTCCTCAGCGCCGGGATTAAAGGTGTGTGCCACCACGGCTGGCAAGATCTGTCCCTGGAAAGCTAGATGCCCATCATCCCCTCCTGCCATGAGCCTCACCTCAGAGTCCACAGGACACCACTGGGTCCTGCCTGGGAACTTGTGGGGATCATGACCTGGAAAGACAAGTTCTTGCCAATCTGGGAGTCACCCCTCCAAGGACACCTGACCACTGAGCCCACCACAGAGGCTGTACAACAGGGCTGAGCCTACTGCACTTAGCTAAAGGAGCTCTGAATGCAAAGTAAGGGGATAGAGTTGAAGACGTTTTTGGAAAATGAGAGTGCTGGTGGATTCATTTTGTTTCAGCAGTCTGCAGGCAAGGTGGGTAGTTCTCTGAGAGTTCTAAGTCAGACACTGTTTTTTCTTTTCTTTTTTTTTTTATAATATTTTTTAAATGCTTATTATTTATACAGTAGTCCGCCTGCATTTGCATGCCAGTAGAGGGCACCAGATCTCACTGTAGATAGTTGTGAGACAACATGTGGTTACTGGGAATTGAACTGTGGACCTTTGGAAGAGCCACCGGTGCTCATAACCGCTGAGCCATCTCTCCAGCCCCTCTTTTCTTTTTTTAAGGTAGTGGGGGAGGGCCTGACACTAGCAAGGATGACTCATTGGCCAGTAACTTGGGTTGTGTAGCGGAGCAATAGCTACATAGCTTAGAGGGTTGAAACCCACCCAGCTCCAGTGCTTTAAGCTTGTGAAATAAGCCAGTCTCTCTGCGTCAGTTCTTTTGGAAGCTGGCGGGGCTAAAGAAAGCTGCTGCTTTATTAATTACTGCCATACACCGTGGCCATCAGGATAAGGGCCACTCGGGGCACTCAGCCCCAGGCTTTGCCAGTATACACAGCCTGCCTGTAGGAGCCCCCCTCCCACCTTACCTCCACTCCCTGGGATTCTACCTCTTGGTATGGACCCCGTCTCCCTAGTCCCTTTCTGGGCCCCTCTTAGCCTGTCCTCCCTTTTCTGTCACCAGATGACTGCAGAGGCTCCTCTACCAGGGACACCACAGCAACCATACCTGCCCAGGATCCAGAGAAGGCAACAGCAGCCAAAGAGCCGAAAAACCCACACAACAAAGATGAAACCGGATGTAATACCAAGAAAAACCTCAAGTATCATACCTCCAGATGCCTAGATCTCAGTGTAAAAGGCATCCCCAGGCTTAGGCCCCCAGACCTTAGCACAACTGACTCCATGATGAAAGTACCACTCCAGCTCTAAAACTCAGCACATAGCCAGCACCACCTGCCAAAGGAGAGCCAAAGCCTAATCTATCAAAGTCCATGTAGTTCTGGGAAAGTCTGAATGTACTCACCTCACTTTTTGGCTTCACTAGTTCTGCTTCTGGCTAACTGTTCTTAGTAGCTGAAATATGTCAACCCAAAACATGGTTATTGTGCTTAAAAAAGCTCACCCTAGGAAAGGCTTGACGCTACACCAGGATCCAGAACACTCAAGTGTAGTCCCTGGAGCGGGAGAGATGGCTCAGAGGTTAAGAGCCCTGGCTGTACCTCCAAAGGTCCTGAGTTCAATTCCCAGCAACGACATGGTGGCTCATCACCATCTGGAATGAGATCTGACGCCCTCTTCTGACACTGCAAGTGTAATGCAGGCAGAACACTGTATACGTAATAAATAAATTTAAAAAAGAAATATAGTCTCTAAAGAAAACCTCAACTGGAAGTGAAAAATTTGGGATAGCAGACAAAAACCTGAGACCCGTGCTATCTGCTCACTCCTCACTGGAGAAGCTTCTTAGAGTGAGAGACTGGAGCGCTCAGCCCTTAAAAGTTGCTTTCACTGACTCTGACAGAGGGCTCAGACACCAGTGAGGAAGAGGAGGAGCACATGTGAGAGCCAGAGGACATGATGACACCAAGGACCCAGTGTCTTCCAGACACAGCAGGACTGACACACTCGTGAACTCGCAGAGACTGTGGCAAAGCGCAGAGCCTCTACAGGCTGAAGCCAGATGGCGTCCTAGAGCTGAGAGGGGAAGTGGGCATGAGCTCCCACCCTTAACCAAGAAGCAACCTCCAGTTGTCATCCGGGTGTGAAGAAAAAATCCATTTTCTCCAGTGGAGTCTCACTGTGGATGTGTTCACACCTCAGGGTAGGCCCGTGCCTAGTAGTAGTACATGGCCAAGACAAATTCACCTCGGGTTTGTTTATGTTTTTGTTCTTATTCCTGCCTTTGTGTATGTGTGTTTCTTTTTGTTGCTATTTGAGACAGGATCTCTCTATGTGGCCTTGGCTGTCCTGGAACTGTCTGTGTAGCCCAGGCTAGCCTCGAACTCAGAGATCCACCTGCCTCTGCCTTTGAGTGCTGAGATCAAAGGCATTTGCCACCACTTCCTGGCTGTTTGTTTTAAAAAGAAATAAAGAATATAACGTTATGAGCCTGGGAAGACTTGGGGGAGAGGACACATGATAAAAATATACTGTATGGATTTTCCATTAAAACAAATAAAAGTAGGCAGTTGGCTGATCTGAAACTGTGGGTACAGAAATGAGCAGAGCATTTGCAGCAAGTACGTCTGCCCAGAATCCTGAGACCCTAGATATCGGCCCCTCCACAGTTGTTAGTGAACAGCGGACCACACAGCCTGGTCGCAGAAGCTCACCCCAGACAGCAATACCTGATAAAGGGACTGTAGGCCCAGAAGAGCTCCCTCGTTGCAGCCATAACCAGAATAGGTGGAGAAGCCCGCAGTGGCGTGGGCGAGGGCCACACACCTGGATCAGATCTGCTTGGTTAGTGCCTTCCGCCTGACAAAGCCCTGGAGGCACCCTAGGAAGCCATGGAGGAACACAGCGCTTACAGGATCCAAAGAGGGTAGAAATAGTGGGCTGAGGGACGTGGGGCCTTACAGGAGGAACAAGGCGGAAAGCTGGGGTGGAGTGCGTCGCAGCACCCCCTACATTTGTCTGACAGGGCCCAGGCTCAAGGAGTGCCTGTCCCTCTGGGGTGTGACACAGGCCCAGCAGGAGCACACTGCAAGCTGGAACTGTTTCAGGATAAGGAACACGGGGAATGAGACTCGGGAACCTGCCCCTGCTCCCGGCTGAGTAGGCCAGCACTGAAAGACCCCAGCCTCACACTAAGTTAAACATAGCTAACGCCATTTTGTGGGACACCACTGTTTTGTAAAACTCTAAAGGCCAGATGAGAAACTAGAAAATTACTGAGAAATCCTAGCTGTGTCACCCACTTGGGATATCTGTGGTCAGGCTGCCCTAGTCATATTAAAAACAGTTTGTGTTAATCACCCTCATAGATATCTGTGAGACTGTTTCAGTTAAGATAGAGAAAAACAAAATAACAGGTGGCGGGCCACGTCAAGGGGTCATCATAACCCCCTTGACCACCCAGTTCCTGAAATCTTGGTGCCCCTGCCAAACTTTGACGCAAATCGTGGTCTCATGTAAATGTACCAATCAGCCCCCTGTAACCATGCTTCTTGCTTCTGTACCAGTGCTTCTGCTCTAAAACCCTATAAAAACCCCAGCTTCCTACCTGGGGGGCGCGGAAGTCTCCCGAATGACTTTTCGCCCCGGGTACCCGTGTATCAAAATAAAAGCCTCTTGCTGTTTGCATCCGAATGGACTCGTTGTTCCTTGGGAGGGGGTCTCTCTGACGGAAGATACCCTCCGGGGATCTTTCAAGCACATCCGAACCTCTTTTTCTCTCAGCATGGAGTGTGGATTAATCTTCGTGTCTCACGTGACGGGATGGATTCTGTCACCCACTGAGTGCTCCTGGAGTCTATTCAAATGTCCCAAATGTCTCGAGCAACAAAGGGGCAAGGAGGAGTTTCTCTGCAGTCTGTGTCCCCGAGCTGGTGGACA